GTCAGCCACTATGCACCCAGAGCACCTTAGAACCACACGAGAGCGAAAAGGGCCAACCAGAAAAATGTAAGGGAGCCTCAAAACGTTCATGAAAAGGGGGAATTAAAAGATAAATACAATTTTTGAAGGCTTCTTGAATAGCTAGTATGTTGCTACATTTTCTGCAATGAAAAATAGGCCGATTACGTATATCACAAAATATTTAGAGATACAGATATTTCTGGTAAATCAACAGAGGAATTAATAGAAATTTTTTTTTAAAGAAACCAAATAAGTTAGATAGAAAACAAAACACCGAGACATTTCCAGATAGTGGTTACCCCTTAGTTGATGGCAGAGAGGCAACAGGCATGTAAGATGACACCCCAGGTTCAGCGTTGTTCTATTTCTTACGTTTATTACAATGCTTCTGAACAGACACTAGCTTTGTCAGATCACCTAGCCATGTTTGCAAATCACACGGCAGAATCTCAGCAATTTCACAAGGTTCAGACAAGCGCTCAGCTTGGGGGAATGCTGTGAACTGTCCTGGAAAGGGATGAACTATTTCACAAAAGAGCAAATCTCAAAAAGCACTTATCCACAGATATTTAATTAAATACTGCTTTAGTTGAGGTTTTTTAATCATATAAAGATATGACAAAAACCTTGTATTTGCAGCCCAAAATACATTAAACTTCACAGAAAGTTATCACAGAAATGTGTCAGACAGGTTGTTACAAGTATGCCATAATCAGCTGACAGAAGATTATGCCATTATTAAAAATGTTGCCAAAGTAATTTTGAGAATATAGGAAGAACAATTTTCCAGAAAAGTTTCGATTTTAACATACCTGCCATTTTTCCAATAATCAGATATAACTATAGTTTAGATTTATAGAGGTGGAAGAACATTCCACTCTTGATAATGATGGAGTGGCTTGTGTCGTAGGAGTACAAATATAGAAACATAATGATTCAAGAGCACAAAAGAAGGACAAAAACCAAGCAGAAGCTGGTGAAACTAGACTGGATGTGATTTACAATTATTACGTTTATTGCTTGATGACATTCTTTTGCTGTGATAATTAATTCTGATCATCTCAGAAAAAAAAGAAAAGGAAAACAACTCTTACCTCACCAAATTATGCAATTCTGTATAAGAAAGGTATGACCGAGGCTCTTAGCCGTGAATTTAATCTAATTTTAAAATCTTCAACCTGCTTCCATTTGGGGGAATGCTGTGAACCAAATGCCCCCACCCCCCAAAAAAGACTTGCTATAAACCTTCCAGGAATGCGAAGTAAAATATACTAAACTTAAAAAAAAAAAAGTAGGCAAGGCTGAGCTGTAAGGGGAAAATAAAGGATATCCTCAGCCGCCAAAACAAAGGAGGAAATTAAGAAGCTAAGCTGCGATTACAAGAGCTGACACTGTAGGTACCCTCAGAGGCTTCCTAGCTCAGTGACACTGGGGCTTGGGTTTGCTATGAGGTAGAGTCAAACAGTTGTGAAGAACACAGCAGTGAAAGATAATAGAATTCTTGCACAAATGTTTTGCAGCCTCTTCAACACCTTCAAAGACCTAACACCAGGCCTCGCATACTCCCCTCCCTGGCTTTTCTATTTAAAAGAATTCTCAAAGGGCTGCCCTCTTAGTACAAGGGGTGGACTTGAAAAACTCACCTACTGGCAGAGGGAGACCACAGAGAAATCTTACCTAATGGTATGAATCATGGCTCTGGGTAGTTACAGACACACAATTTCATAAATATTCTGGGTAGTTAGAGACACACAATTTCATAAATATTCATAACCAAAGGTCTGCCTTCAACTGGATCAGGAGTTTTAAATTTCACTAGCAAGAAATACACATATTCTTCAAGCAAAAGCTTTACTATAAAAAATAGTTCTGTGATAACCTCAAGGGCCTGGGAAAGTAAGTAAAAAACCTCTCAGCAAGGATACACCCTCAATCTCAAAAAAAAACCCCAAACCTTGACTGCTTTCCAGTCTATGCCGACTCACAGCGACCCTATAGAGCAGGGCAGAGCTGCCCGAGTTTCCGAGGCTGTAACTGTTACACAGGAGTAGAAAGTCCTGTCTTTCTCCTGTGGAATAGCTGGTGTTTTTGCGTTTTTTCAATCATCTTATTGGGGTTCTCTTAAGGTCTTAAAATAATCCATCCATCCATTGTGTTAAGCACATTTGTACATATGTTGCCATCATCCTTTTCAAAACATTTTCTTTCTTGAGCCCTTGGTATCAGCTCCTCTTTTTTCCCTCCCTCCCTCCTCC